ACAGCTACAAAGTAGTCAGCTCCAAGATTTCTCTGTCAGGTTAATAACGCTGCTAGCCAAATAACATATGAAAAGATTCAGTGTTTTAATTGAACCTTTAAAGAGCCCTTAGACTTTCAAATACATCATCCCCCTTGCAGCCATATGATTGTTTTTGGCGGTGTGATGCTGGCAGGCCAGATGCCAGCTCCTGCCAAGACTGCAGGCATTAGCTAAAAACTAACAAACTCATAGTTAGAGACCTGATCAGTTCACCTATATGTTAGTTTTGCTCAAAATAGGTATTAGCTTTATAAGAATGTATCTAGTGTTTAAACTCTATGAAACGCTTCAGAGTAGCAGCCGTGTTAGTCTGTATCCGCAAAAAGAACAGGAGTACTTGTGGCACCTTAGAGACTAACAATCATGAAGTTGATGGATTTCCACTCCATACGGCTAAATGCAGTGCCTTGCATAATGACAGGTTTCTCTAAGGTGCCACAAGTACTCCTGTTCTTTTTGCGGATACAGACTAACACGGCTGCTACTCTGAAACCTGTCATTATGCAAGGCACTGCATTTAGCCGTATGGAGTGGAAATCCATCAACTTCATGATTGTTAGTCTCTAAGGTGCCACAAAAAAGCGTTCTTTTTATGAAACGCTTGTAAGTTGCTGCATGCATTAATCTCACCTGTAATGTCTGTATTCCATGTGGTAAGAAAATAAGTTTTGCTTTATAACTTTGAAAGTATTTGCTCTGTACTTGTGAACCCATAAGAATGGCCATACTGGGTCAGACCAAAGATCCATTAAGCCCAGTATCGTGTCCTCTGACAATGGCCAATGGCAGGTGCCCCAAAGGGAATGAACAGTCAGGTTATCATTAAGTGATCCATGCCCTGTCACCCAATCCCAGCTTCTGGCAAACAGAGGCTAGGGCCACCATTCCTGCCCATCCTGGTTACTAGCCATTGATGGACCTATCCTCCATGAATCTATCTAGCTCCCTTTTGAACCCCGTTATAGTATTGGCCTTCACAACACCCTCTGGCAAGGAGTTCCAGAGGTTGACAGTGCGTTGTGTGAAAAAATACTTCCTTGTGTTTGTTTTAAACCTGCTACCTATTAACTTCATTTGATGGCCCCTTGTTCTTGTATTACGAGAAGGAGTAAATAACACTTTCTTATTTACTTTCTCTATACCACTCATGATTTTATAGACCTATATCATATCATATCATATATCCTCCCCCGGCCCATCCAAAAGAACTATCAAAATCAGATGGGCCATCAAGGAACATTGCAATATAAAGGTCTGGTTAATGGTCCTATCACACCCCTGGAGGAGAACATGCAGAAGTATCATCCCATCGCTTTGAATGCTGGGAGAGAGAAATAAAAATAGTTGACGTGTCTTTGCCCTGAAGGACACTTTGAATGGACAGAGCACTACAACTATGTCACTCTTAGGATTTAGACTGCAAGTCATTTGTGCATATGTTTGCTTGCTTTAACCAGTTAATAACTTCTATTTCTCGGTCTTAGTTAATAAACCTTGAGATAGTTTATTACAGGATTGGCTACAGGCATGGTCTTTGGTGTAAGTTCTAGGCTACCAGTTGATCTGGGGTAAGTGAGTGATCTTTCGGGACTGGAAGCAACATAAATATTGTGTGATTTTTTGTGTAGGTGACCATTTATCACTAAGCCCAATTGGTCTGGGTGGCAAGATAGACCTGCCACCAGTTTTGGCTGTCTGCCCTGTTTTTGACAGTCTGCCCTGAGGTAGGCACTCACGTCGTGAGCCACTCCAGACAGCGTGACAGCATGTACCTGGGCAAGGCGAACTCAAGGCTCTATTATTTGGCAGAAATAGAGTTCCTGCAGCTAACATCTATGAAAGTCTTTTGTTCCTTAGAGGTACACATTGGCTCATCCCTCTAAGACTACAGATACAACTAGTACATCGGCCCCCATCCCTTGGATTCCATTCCTATGACTGCATGTGGAAGATGTCCATCTTGTGGGTTACCCATAGTGGGTAACACTAATCATATTCCAGCCTTCTCTTTCCAGGAGATTGGAAAGTTTCCCAAAGAGAATTGGATCCAACAATCTGTCCTCAGCGGCCTACAGAGCACAATCCTTTCCTGAGCTCCCACCATGGCGGTGCTGCTTTCCAAACATGGGCTGTGTATGAACTACAGTAGAAGTAGGAACAGCATGAGCTTTCATTAGTTTAAGGAAGATCAGAGCTGGTTGAAATTTCCTCATCCAACTTTTCTGTAAATGAACCTGGCAGCAATGTACTGCACCCAATTAGTGTGATGGACTTTTTTCCTCCAGGAGGCGAAATTAATGTAAAGTATTAGAATAATCTAGCATACATCAGCATCTTCAATTCCTTGGGCAGGAGACATCAACCTGGCCACATTTTGGAGATGATAAAAAAAAATTGGTACTCTAATATTGGCATGTTGGCAAACACAAGACTCGGGATTTGAAGGAACCTCAGATGATGGCAATGAGACCTCAGCTGAGGTGGGGAGCTCCAAAAAGCCACTAATGTCTTTACAGCCTTGGTTTCTATTCATTAAAATAACTCCAGCTTTGCCCAGGATTTTCAGTAAGCGTCTCTTCACCCAGCAGATCCCCTGCCTTACATCTCCCCTCAACACCAAGCCAAAAGGATTCCCCATCCTTCTCAGCGCTGCACCCCAAGCGGCTACCCTTTGGCATAAAAGCTAGGTGAATGCTGGCTCCAGATAGTGCTTTGCAATCCGCTCTTCAGAGACAAAGCGAATGGACGCCTACAGGGCACTGGTTTTCAAACTGTGGGGCGCACCTCTCTGAGGGTAGGTGCAATGAGGTAACGGGGGCGGAGGGTGTGAGATGGGACATGGGACTGCGGCTGGCCAGGTGTCTGGGCCAGGGCACGGCAACAGTGGGGAGAGTGCACAGGAAGTCCCTAGTGGTCAGGGGAGCTGGGGGGGTGGGGAAGGGGAAGAGGCAGAGCAGCCCCACCCTGCCCTGGCAGCAGCCTGCTGCACCCTCCCGCCAGCCCCCCTCACTTCCCTGGCTGCTTTGCTCACTGTTGCCCTGGCCTGGACACCCGGCCAGTCACAGCCCACATATTTTAAACTCTGGAGCCTGAGTGAGAGGCTCTGGGCAGGGGGGAGGGAGGACAAGGAGCCCTGGTTCCAGCTGCACTGCCATGGGCTCTTCTAGGGATGGACCCAGCCAGGTCCTGCCGCCAACCCAAGTGTGAGCTGCCGCCCGCTCCCCACAGTGAGTCACTTTCTGCCGGAAGAAGGGGAGAAGGGTGCAGCAAAAATAAGTTTGGGAACCTCTCCTATCCAGGAAATCAGCATAGAGGTGAAGCCACTAGCAGGTCAAAGACAGATGCTGCAGTTATCGGCTGTTAGCATGAAGCAAAATTCCATCCCTCTAGGAATCCAACAAAGCTTTCCTTTTCTAAAATGAACAGTAGAGACAATAACACAAGGCTGAGACGGGAGCTAATGTTTTGTGAAGCGCAGAAGGGTCAGAACACCAAAGCCTCCAGACACTTGGATCTTGCTACATTCCAGGCGACCTGAACTGCTTTGGGCCTGCAGAACCGGATCAGAAATCTCATGGAAAGAGGACGTTGTGCCTTGCTTTTGCTGGGGCTGGAGATATTTCACAGAAAGGAAGGATGGTCTTGTGATTAAGGCCCTGGATTGGAACTCAGGCGCTCTGGGTTCCATTTTCAGCTCTGACAGACCCCTTGTGTGACATCATCTCTCTGGGTCTTGATTTCCCATCAACGAAATGGTGATAGTAATACCTCCTTTCTCCTCCTCCTTGGGCTTGTTTCTTGCTACATGTATGTACAGCACCTAGCACAACGGGGCCCTGATCTCACTGGGAATGCGTGAGCATTACTGTAATGTAAATAATAGTCACAGTGAGCTCTCACGGTACTTGGGTTGTTCCAGGCCCAGCTGGAGTCCTGATGTGCAGAGGCAGCCCCAAAAAATGAACAATAATAAGGGAGTCGGAGAGGGGGGCCCCAAAAAGGATTTTTTAAAACAAACCTCAAAAAAAGTTCGGTTTGAGTTTGGGGTAAATTCTTATCTTGACTAGTTCAGCTGTATCTACCAATAAACCCAGCATGGGATCTTGACAGACAGCTGGGTTCAGAGCAGTAATGGGTATTGCATTAGGGCTGCAGAGCTTCTAACGGCAGCATAAATATAAATATTAAGCCAAGCTTGTGCTAAAAAAATGGTGCCGAGTGTATCTATAAACAAACACGGGGGAATCTCCCTAGAATAACATCAATGAATGATGCACACAACACAGTCCATCTGCCTGGCTTGATGTGTGCAGTCCCCTAAGGATAACTGTATGACAGACCTTTGGTTCCTTTGCAATGCATGATGCCCTGGGTGCAAATTCTGTAGGCAGATTTCAGATGTTGCTTGCTTCTATGGGTACAGTATTACTCAGGGTAGTTTATATGCAGTGACTTTGCCAAGAAAATTTGACTACCTGAACAGCAGAATAAGCAGAAAGTTCTGAAAACTGCCTGATCTTCTTACATAGGACAAGATCTTGCCACACTTATTTATGACGAGCAGTGCCTTGTCCCGAGAACTGTTCCCAACTAAAAATCAATCAGACTGTTCCCAACTAAAATCAATCAGACTGTAGCAAAACCTGGCCCTTACGAATGTCAATGTGCCCAGCAGTTGCACTTCAGCACAAGGTCAGCTATGCCGCAATAATTCCCCAGTACGGACTAATGGTTTTTATTAAATCCACTGAATTGTTTGGGAGTTTGTCTGTGAAATCAGAAAACAAGTAACAATAGTTCCCGAGCCCCACAGCAACATAAAAAAACAGAGATTTACCCTTGATAAAGGCCCCGAAAGGGTTGTTTTCTCCTATGTAAGGCATATTGAAAGTGCATTTAAGAACCTTACCCTGTGTGGCTGTGCAGTTATGAGAACACTTGTTTTCCTTTTCTTAAAGCTCCTTTTGACAGGTTTACCCAAGATCAGAACTAAGCGGCACCTATAGACTGCTTCAGCTCTAGTTCCCCTTTTCAAGTCTGCCAAGAAAGCTCTACTGGGTCTGCTTGCATATGCAGATGGGATGACTCAGCCTGCAGGTATTACCCTGATCGCATCTCTTTAAAGCTTTAAAAAAACAAAAAACAAAACAAAACCAAATCCACACACATCCACAGCTGATGTGCAGCCTTCAGTCACAATCCCACGCTACAGGTAAACACCCAGACTCCTCTGGTCTGCCAGAACTCCAGTCACTGAGAAACAGAAACTCATCCACTCATGCTCACAAGAAAAGAGGAATCTGTCTCTTGGAAATACTGCAAATGGAGTACCTCCGCAATAGAAAGATCAGGGGACATGAGTACTTGGGGTGTATTTTACCACTAAGTGAAGAAATTCAGTCTCCCCTGCCGGGGTCACGTGTTCAGAAACATCTCTTTCAAATGCTGACATCTCTCAGGTTAACACTATAATGCCACAGCTCCATTGTTTCTGCTAACAAGATGTCTGTACTTAGCAAAATTCATCGCTAAGAGAGGCAGCTCCCTTATTCATGCAAGACTAAGAGGCCCCATTATCACGGTCTTGTGCAGATGTCACTGTCCATTAAAGGCACGTGTGCCACTCTGTTTATATCGTGTTGACTTGCACTCACAGGCTGAAAGACTGGGTTCAGAATGGGTTTTGCAAGCACTGGCTGAATTATTCTCCTAATCAGAGTGGTGCAGCATTTACCACCATGTTTAGAGTGTTAATTGGCAGCCAGTTTCAGCATTGGAGACAGGAGGGGCAACTTTAAAGATCAATTATGCAAAGAAAGAAAGAAACAGCCAGGTCTGCAGAAAGTAGTGGCATGGGAGGGACAACTGATGGAGTGGCAGATGGATAAGCAGCAATGTCTTGCCCTCCTTGGCAGCTAGCAGGGCTGCCCTTTGAAATGTTCCTGTGCCCCTGGCAATTCTGCTCTTGTTGATAGCCCGTGATGACTAATGTTCGCTCTCTGGTTCTCCTGCATAAGCCAGATGTTCCAATGCTCAGGGCTCAAACACTGCAGGAGGGTGTTGTTCCTTTAAAAATAAACTTTTTCCATTGCAATTTAAAACAAACAAGATATTGGGAATATGTCCAATGATTTTAGGATTCTGTTGAGTCATGCTAATTTACAGAAGCTAAACTGGAGACCCAAACTGACTTTACACTGTTTCTCTAATGCAGTGTTTCCCAAACTTGGGACGCCGCTTGTGTAAGGAAAGCCCCTGACGGGACAGGACCGTTTGTTTACCTGCCGTGTCCGCAGGTCTGGCTGATCGCGGCTCCCACTGGCCGCGGTTCGCCACTCCAGGCCAATGGGAGCTGCTGGAAGCGGCGGCCAGTATGTCCCTCGGCCCGCGCCACTTCCAGCAGCTCCCATTGGCCTGGAGTGGCGAACCGCGGCCAGTGGGAGCCGCGATCAGCC